ATGTAATGCCTTGCATCATTACGCATACGCACGATACAGGCAAACGGAATGGAAACGGAGCAGAGTTTAAAAAGCATTCTACTGTCGTCTTTAAAATCATAATAATAAAAAAAAACGTTTTATGGCATTCATTCTACTATTATGTATTTATTTCTTAATGTTTTACATAGAGGTTTAGGAGTTGAGACATTATGCGCTGGGATCGGATCGGTACTCGGTACCGGCAGATACCTAAGGTTCAGGGATCGGAATCGGTATCGGGAAGGAAAAAGTGGTATAGGTACATCTCTACGAAAAACCTGCCGGCTGTTGAATCCAGGAAAAGTCCCCCATCGGCCCCCTCCCGTTAGGCGGCCTAACAGATGAATTTTCAACAGATGGATCAAATACACCAGATAAAATGCAACTTAGATTATAGATTATAATGGAATCACAGAAATCATTTTGGATAATATGCATAACTTTCTAAGTCGAAATCAGAGTACATTTCCCTCTTGTAAAATAAAAACACAAAGATGAATACAGAAAAAATAAAAAAATGAATATAGAAAATGGTGTCAGAGCGGTGGAGTATGCTGTTCACATTCTCTTGTTTATGTGATATCTTGTATGTGGTCGTGGTGTATAGCTATATTCCCCGTCCTCTCTTTCAGGAGAGAGTATCAGCCATTGTTCATCTCTCTCTCTCACAGTTCCTCCTCGTCATTTGAATTTGTCTATGTAATCAGGAATTGGGAATAAATCTGGTATTTCCTCCCCCCCTCTGCGCCAGAAGGACTCTGCGCACCAATTGTTCAGGGGTTAGCATACTGAGCATTTGTGCTCCTTGTATGCCCATTACAAGGTTACAGCTGTCCGGCTTCACCCCTCAGCTCCCCAGATTATCCAGTCTTTTTCTGAGCAGAGCAGAACAGTCCAATAAACCATCCTCTGAAAAAGACACCGCTGTGTCGGACCCAGCTTCATGCTCAACACCCAACCGTGAGGCTCCCTGGTCTGAGGTGGTGGTAAGTGGCCGCAAAAATGAAGTAAACACAGCTCCTCCTCCCCCAAACCTGAGCACCTCCAACCGCTATAATGTCTTGTCGACCGAGGAGCTTCCAGTCCTCCAGGCCGCTGCGCCCTCCATCCCATCTCGCCATGTCCAGGATGTTGCGCCCGCTGACACCACAGCTGTCCCTCTGCCTGTGGCTGATGGTGATCGTACGGCTGATCACCCTAAAGTGAAGCCCCCACACCACACCTCGGCCTCTTCTTCCCGGCGTAGGCTCCTGAAGGAAGCGGTGCGCCGTCACTCTGGCAGCTTCCCTCACCGCGATCCAGTGGAGATTCCCCTGACCAGTGACAAGTTGCTTTCGGCTCCCCCCTCATTTTCATCCTCGCCTCCTCGCTCTCTGTTCCCCCCGACAACTGTAATAATCAGGGACTCCATCATCAGAAACGTCCGCTTTTTAATGCTATCACCCACTGCTTTCCAGGCTCCACAAAATCCCAGAGCTGCTGGGCTCACTCCCATCCTCGGTCAAAAAACTGATTATACACTAGGTTTTAATGATACATCTCTTCGCCAGTCCGAGGTGACAAAGGAGCATTTTAAAGAACTTTTTAACTTTCTGAGCGGCTGCGGGAAGTCTGTTTTTATCTCTGGGCCCCTCCCCTTCTTCGCCCGTGGTGCGCTGCGTTTCAATTTGTTCTGGAACCGCTCCGAGTTTTACAGAGCTGACGGTGTCCACCCCTCTGGTCTGGGCAGCAGGGTACTCGCTCACAACATCCAGCATGCTGTTCAGACCACAACATCCAAACATGTCTGACTGACTTCCCACTCCCCCTCGGTAGTGCTGCCGCCGCAGGTCACCACCTCCACCACTAGCGCCCCAACTGTCCTCCTCCAGTATTGAAAATCAAGCGTACAGTAGTAAACAGAGCAATTCGAATGAATGGGAAGTGGAAAGTCTTCCAGACAGTAAACAACTCACGAACAATCTGGGACTCAAAAGCAAAACCTAAGGGTATATTAGGCAGACATCTAAATATACGAAGCTTAAAATCAAAAAGGGATCAGGTCAACCACCTGCTAACAGAAAAATCTAGACTTTGTTGGTCTATCAGAAACAAGGCTACATAAAAACTCTCCCAGTGCTGCTGTTTTAGTTCCAGGTTACGTCACTTACGGGAAAGACCGTACAGATGCAAAGGGAGGCGGGGTTATGATCTATGTGAGACACTATCCGTTGCAGTGAGACTGAATGGCAAGGTTTAAATGATTTAGAGTGAGTTGGATTAAACATGGTTCTTGTACCTCAGATGACCTTTACAATAATAGTTATATACCGGCCGCCATCTGCTAACATTGGCCTTTATGACCAGTTCAAGGAAATGTTATATCAGTGCAACTTCAAGAAGGAGGTCATAGTGATGGGTGATCTTAATATAAACTGGGAGGACAAAATTTCAAGGAAAAAGTTGAAACAAATCACAGATAGTTTTAACTTAACTCAGATGGTTAAAGGTCCAACACGAATTACAAACAATACTAGCACCCAAATTGATCTGATCCTCACCAACAGGCCTGAAAGGATTACAAAGACATACAACATGGTAACTGGGCTATCAGATCATAACATGGTACTCATATCAAGAAAATTAACCAGCAAGCTGTTTACAACACATTCTGGAAATAAGTAGTTTATTGGTATACCAAAAAACAAGCAGGAACATTTCAAAGCAGCCATACAACAAATGGAATGGGACAACTTGTTATTGAACAGTGATCTTCCCTGGATAAACGATAATATAAAACAACTAATGAAGGACAGAGACAACGCCCTTAAAATGGCCACTAAGTCCAAACTGAGCAGTGCCAGGCAGAAATTTGCAATGTTAAGGAACAAGGTGACAAGGCAGCTGAGAAAAGCAAAAGCAGACTTTTTCACCAAGATTATTGAAAACTGTCATGGGAACTCAAAATCCATGTGGAGTCAAATCAACAAACTGACTGAACAAGACATTTCTGTTAGAAATACAATTCAACTAAAGGTCAATGACACAATAATACATGATCCAGCTAAGGTGGCACAAGTACTTAACAAATACTTTGTTGAATCAGTAGAGACCATAGCCCAGAGTTTCACTGCCCAATGTAAAAATATACACACCGTCACTACTGGCAGCAGTGGTACAAATGAACCCCCATTACGTCCAATTCTAGTATCCAGGACTGAAGTCGCAAGAGTGATCACATCTCTCAAGTCCTCAAGAGCTACAGATGTATATGGAATGGACATACTAATGATAAAAGAAATCTGTCCATCAATAATTGGCCCATTAACACACATAAATATCTCACTGAGTGAAGGGAAATTCCCAGAAGCATGGAAACTGGCTACTGTCATTCCCATATTCAAAGGTGGTGACCCTCTCCTTACCTCCAACTATAGGCCTGTTAGCATTTTACCCACTGTGTCAAAGGTATACAAGAAACTGGTCGTCAAGCAAATCACTAATTACCTCAATGACAGCTCCTTCTCTCTGCATCCAATGCAATTTGGATTCAGGGCCAATCATTCTACAGAAACTGCAATATGCTACTTTATGGAAAGGGTTAAAGCAACAATGGATATAGGAGGGTCAGTGGGGGCTGTTTTCCTTGCCCTGCGGAAAAGCATTTGACACTGTTAACCACTCAATTCTACTGAACAAACTCCTGAACTTCAATCTCTCCATGGAATTCATCAGCCTCATCAAATCCTACCTCTCATCTCGTTCTCAAATTGTTAGAATTGAAAATCGTAACTCCAACCCCTTGCAATTATCAACTGGTGTCCCACAAGGTTCAGTACTCGGTCCTATTCTGTTCAGCATGTACATCAATGATTTACCATCTGTGTGTGATAATTGTGATATATTAATGTATGCTGATGACACAGTTATAATTGGACATGGAAAAACACCAGAGCAAGTTGCAACAAAGTTAGCAGATGCTATGTTATTAGTCACAGCCTGGCTTAAACAGTCCTGTCTGCAACTTAACCTGTCAAAAACAGTCTGTATGTTTTTCTCTAAGAAAAAAACAAACATAAATGTGATGCCAGATGTTTTCGTTTCTGGAGAGAGGGTACATGTGGTTACAGAATACAAATACCTAGAACTGCACATAGATTCAAACCTAAGCTTCAAAACCCACATTAAGAAAGTCAGGAACAAAGTTAAGTTCAGTTTATCAAACTTCAGATTCATCAGGGACTCATTTTCAACTGAAGCAGCCAAGATGTACTTCTTAGCGATGGTTCTCTCACACATCACATACTGTCTGACAAGTTGGTCTACTGCAAACACCACAATAATGAAAACAATAGAATCATTATATAAACAAGCACTTAAAATATTAGACAAGAAACGTTTCAGATTTCATCATTGTCATATACTGAATAAATATAAATTGCTTAGTTGGGGAAACCTCATTATATTCAAAAACATCTGTCTGGTATATAAGATCTTGCATGGTTCAGCTCCTCCTGCTCTATCTGGATACGTTAATATCAGATCTTCTGGTAATAGGGGTACGAGAGGTGCAGTGAGGGGAGACTGCACAATTCCCTTAAGAAAAACTACATTCAGTCAGGCAGTTTTCTCCTTCAGAGCATCACATCAATGGAATTCAGTACCACAATCAATCAGAGTATCTCCGTCATAGCATTCATTCAAGCGCAATGCCAAGAAATGGCTTGTTGAAACACAAATGTGAACATTGATTTTTGCCTCACTGTTATATAGGAGTGCATCATGCAATTGTGGGTTATTGTCACTCAACAGTATGTGTGTGCCGTACAGAATGTTTATCTTGTATATAATGTTTATCTTTAATGGGTTATTTTTTTATATATATATATTGGATGCTGTATTTTATTGATGCCTTTAACAACTGGCAAAGGGACTACCGATGAAAATTAGCCTCTCGGCTATTTCGGGTGCATTTTACATGTTTTTTTTTTTAAATGTTGATTAAGGTACATTGTCCCTTTTCAAATAAACAAATAAACTAAACTAAACTAAACTAAGGTTCAGCTTCTTGTCCATCGCTTTCTCACACCATTTCGTCAGGATAGGCATGATGCAACATGTCAATAAGGAAAACAGAATTAGTACTATCAGTACAATTATCCCTGTTTTAGCCAAAACGGCTCCCCATTTTCCAAAGATTTCCTCTAACTCATCCCACTTGATTCTTCCACTCTTACCAGCATTTTCAGTCATTTCAGATTTTAAGGCTTCAAGCTTACTCATAGCAACAGAAATTGTTCCATCAGGCTAAGTGTTATTCAAAATAAACATACAACAGAGCGTCTCGAACATTTAACATACTCCTCCTATTTCTGCTAAAATCCAATTTAAAGCTCGTCTACTCTACCACGCCATGGCACTGGTTTCATGCAGTTGCTGACCTAATTGCTTAAGAACCTCAAATGTGTAGTTGACATATCTCTGTTGGTTGTAGAAGGTTGGTTGTGATCGTACAAGAATTACTCAACATTACAAAAACAATTCTTTAAAATGAGTCCTTCCCAGTAACTCCAAAGTACAACAACTCGACAGTATTCAAAAACAACTTCTTATAAGGAGTCCTTCCTATTGCGAAATCTGGTCAACTGTTTCTAAGACCTTTTGCAACTGACATTATTTTCACATTTGATATAGAACAATACACTGTCTGCCTCTACATCAGCTCTCACACATGGGAGTCCTACAGGGAGGAATCTGGTGGTCCAACATGAGGTTACAGTTAAAATAAATAAACAGATAAAAATAATCAAAGACAAAAGTAAGATATCAACACAGCTATCAGGGCATGGGGAGGAAGCAGTAGGAAGATGTTTGCCTGGCCCTGAAAATGTCCAAAACAATGCAGGGTAAACACATTTGTGGGCTTTAATGTCACTACCAACACTGGTCACATCAGGAAGGGTTCTCTCTGGTGTGAACACGTTGGTGGATTTTTAGGTTATACCTTTCAATAAAAGCTTTCTCACACTAGTCACAGCTGTACGGGTTCTCTACTGCATGCCGGCATTGGTGGGTTCTCAAATTACTGCAGTGGGCAAATAATCTTCCACATTGGTCACACCAGTATGGCTTCTCTCCTGTGTGAATACGTTGGTGGCTTTTTAAGACCCCTGACTGTGCAAAGGCTTTGCCACATTGATCACAGCTGTACGGTTTCTCTCCTGTGTGAATACGTTGGTGGCTTTTTAAGACCCCTGACTGTGCAAAGGCTTTGCCACATTGATCACAGCTGTACAGTTTCTCTCCTGTGTGAATACGTTGGTGGGTTTTTAAGTTCCATGGCTTTGCAAAGGCTTTGCCACATTGATCACAGCTGTACGGTTTCTCTCCTGTGTGAATACGTTGGTGGAATTTTAAGGCCCCTGACTGTGCAAAGGCTTTGCCACATTGATCACAGCTGTATGGTTTCTCTCCTGTGTGACTGTGTTGATGGGTCTTCAAGCTACCTAATTGTGTGAAAGCTTTGCCACACTGATCACAGCTGTACGGTTTCTCTCCTATGTGACTGTGTTGATGGGTCTTCAAGCTACCTAACTGTGTGAAAGCTTTGCCACATTGATCACAGCTGTACGGTTTCTCTCCTGTGTGACTGCGTTGATGGGCTTTCAACTGACCTAACTGTGTGAAAGCTTTGCCACATTGATCACAGCTGTACGGTTTCTCTCCTGTGTGACTGCGTTGATGGGTTTTCAAGTTACCTGAGCATGTGAAAGCTTTGCCACATTGATCACAGCTGTACGGTTTCTCTCCTGTGTGACTGCGTTGATGGGTTTTCAAGTTACCTGAGCACGTGAAAGCTTTCTCACATTGATCACAGCTAAACAGTTTCTCTGCTGTGTAAATGTCTTGTTTTTTTGAGGTCCCTGACTCTGTGAAATCCTTCCCACTTTGGAAAAAACTGGACAGTTCCCCATCAATGTGAATGCGTTGATGGGCTTTAAGGGCACTGCAGCGCAAAAATGTTTTCTCACATTGGTCACAGCTGTATGGTTTCTCTCCAGTTTGAAGTCTTTGATGAATTTTTAAAGATCCAGATGTTTTGAAGGATTTGTCACGGTGATGAAGTATAAGTTCCTCTCTTCCTCTCTGTTCCTATAGCAACAGACAGACACAGAGAAAAAGAGTTAATGAGCTGTCACAGTGCAGCGAGCCAACTAAAACCATAAATAACATTTAAAGCATGTCTGCGAAACATAACCCACAATGTCTGACTAATGCATCACCACCAACAAATGTTATGATAAATAACTTACAGAATAGTTTTTATTTAGGTTTTGACTTTTTGATAGGAATTGATACCAATACTAGGGGTGTAATGGTACACAAAAATCTCGGTTCGGTACGTACCTCGGTACACAAGTCACGGTTCGTTTTTTTTCGGTACAGTAATGAAAAAAAGAGACAACTATCAAATATCTTTTACTTATTGGTAACCTTATTAAAACATACCACCACAGCAGTTAACTCTTTACACAATTTTTGAATGAAACAAATATATATAAAATCCTGCTTTTTCACATTGTTTGAATGAAAATAGAAATATAAAAGTGAAAAATAAAATCCTGCTGTTTTTTTAACACATTTTTTGAATGAAAAATATAAATATACATTTCTGCTTTAACAGTTTTACTCAATTAAAATAAAAAGTATAATGCAGCTGGTCAGCTTTAAAGCCTGCTCAGATTCAGTTTTACTAGGAACTTACTTAGCTTTCCCACTTTGTTAAAGTGCAGTAAACAAAACATGCTTATATCTAAAGTGCAGCTTCAACAATTTTACTCAACTCCAGTGGTGTTGGTTATTTCTTTAGCACGATGGTCAGGGAAATGCTCTTTCTTTTTAAACGACGACGATATCGTAGTTTGCACCAGATTGCTTTTTCTAGTCCTGCCAGTTAACGGTCAAACTCGGGTGGTGTCACTTTAGATGGGTTAGCATGTTAGACGTGTTTCCAAGTACATACCCAACCGCTGTTCTGCAGTGTCGGCACACTGCTTTTGTCTTGTCCACTTGTTTATTTCCATCTTCGTATTTTACCCTGAAACCAAAGTGTATCCAAACGGAGGACTTAAGGTTTGCGGGTGGGTCTTCAGGTTCGTCAGGCTCACTTGCCATGTTGTCAAAATGCGAGAATGCGCTGCACAAAGTGAAAGCGGAGATTTACGGTCGGACTCGGTCCGTCACTCAATTATGTCCGTCGGGGAACTAGATATTTAAAATGGTTCGGCTTGCAAAAACTGAATTAAAATAAAACAAAATAAAATAAAATAACATCCTGCGCCCAATAATTCGGTACAGGGTCGTGCCGAACCAAAAGTCGCGTACCAAACGGTTCGACACAAATACATGTACCGTTACGGCCCTAACCAATACTACTTATCAATGCGACTCTCACTGATACTTCTCTCCATAATTTAGTGGTTTAGTGGTTTTGGGTTGGACCTGAGATTCTTGACTTGTGCTCATGTCTCCCCCATGACTGTACAGGCTAACCGCCACACCAAAGTCTTTTCTCATTTTCTTTCTAAATATTTATCAGTTACTTTTCATAACCCACATAAACCATTTGTCATAAATCAGACCAGAGTGCTTTCATTGACTTAACAAGGGCAGCATCTACAAACCCGACACAGAAACTTGCTTTGCAAGCCACCAATAAACACAGAGAAGAAGAACAACAACTGCAGCACGCTGTCTAGAGGGTAAAACACGTCGCAGTGTGGATGTCTTTCACAGTTTCAGAGGAAGACAACAGGATTACACTGAGGGTCTGATGTCTGACCACCCAACAACCCCCAGATCAACAAACTCCGTGGAACCGGTGAACAGGTTATATATATCCCGCTTTATAGACATAGCACTGAAGGACCATCTCCAGAGTGTTAGCACGAGCTAATTAGCAGCAGCGGCTAAAATCCAACACCAAGCTTTTAAAAAGCTCGCCTCTGTAGTTAAAAGTATTAATAACCGCTCGCCATGTGGTGCTACAGTTAGACATTATTTGTATCGTTACCTCTCTGACTGCGTGTGTGTGTCTGAGCTGAGTGTTAATGTGTGAGGTGAATCAACAGTAGCTGTAGGCTGGTGTATGATGGGATGTTGAGACGGCGTCTGGGCGTGACAATATATAAACATGTGATCCAGCAGATGTAAGGCGGAGCTGCTGATGTTGATGTTCATCAGCTGTCAGTGTTTGTCTGTTAGGAGAGACTCCACTCTGCAGTGTAGTTTATACAGAGAATTACACAGTAACACTGGGCTTCATTATCATCCTCTGTCTTAACGTTAAGCAAACGTACATGCTATGACAACTGTCAACTTCCATATCACAGTATACCTTGAAACCGATACATCGCTGCAACTTTACAGCACACATGGCCAAATTGCCGCCTACGTCACCATGTCACACATCTGTTTTTCTTAACATAAAGACATTTCCGCCATAAACTGGTGCACAACACTTCAAAATGCAGTAAAATAAACGTTTGATGCTCAGAATATCCTGGGGGAGGACACAAACACACACACACACACACACACACACACACACACACACACACACACACTCCTACTACATATGTGTCCCTGCCAGTGTTAAAATTCAATCATGTTAATCACCCGGTACTGCCATCTCCATATTGTAACAGCAGGGTTAAAATTTTGACTCTCGGCTACTTTCAACAGCTCAGGCTCGTTGGAGATGAGTCAGGCCTGCGCAGATTTGATCACCAGTGATGACAGCACAATGCATGCTGGTTAGATTTGTGTCCAACTTCATCCTGACTTGCTCCTCCGTCATACCAAAGGGATTTTTGAAGGGAGATACAAGATGGCGGCGTAAACAGTATATATTGGATAAACTTGGTGAGACAGTGGACACAGTACATCGCTTGGGAAAGAAGAATGACGCCACTACCAACAAAATGCCCAGACCAATAATCATACAGTTTCCAATGCCAACTATTCGAGATGAGGTATGGAAAAAAATCAAGAGAGGCAAGAGTCTGCAAAGAGATGAACATTCAGTTCAAGGAGGACTTTTCAAAGGAGGATCATGAAGCCCCGGCTAAGCTGTGGCCCAAGGTGCAAGAAGCCAGAAGAAATGGGAAAAGAGCATTTCTCAAAGAAGGCTACGCACTCACTGAGGGACATAGAAATGACCCATAACTGATATTTTCAGCAAGGTAATATTCAAGCACTTTGTCAAAAATATACATGGTTTCATTACAAGTATAGTTGATAAGAATTTAAAGCTATAGTGCGTAACTTCTACAGGTCCGTAAATGTCCGTTTCACCCAAGCCACTACTAGAGATGATATAATGCTGATTAAGCCGATCGGCTCCTCTAACATCTCGCGGTATTTTTCAATATATATCATTTTTAGTATGCGTGTCGACCAGCAACATTCCCGCCTGGCACACAGGAAATGCTTCCTCACAACAAGAAGGGAGGGGGAGGAGAGTGTCATAGCAAGAGGTAGAGCGCAGGTAGAAAGTAGGGATGGGTCACGATTTTCGAATTTCGAATAGTCGTATTTTTGAAAAATCGATTTTTTAATGCGACTATTACTATTCGCCGTCTTATTCCCCCCCTTTATTTGACATGCAATTCAGCTCCAAACCGCACGAGGGCAGTATAGGATTGCTACAGCGGTGTGAGATGGGCTACCAGCTAGTTTGATGCTCTTCTACAAACAGGAGAAACATGCAGAGACTACTACTCCGCGAGGAATGTCCGCAGTCACTGGGGCTTTCATAGTCGAGCACATTTCCGCGTTGTAGTTTCCTGTAAAAATGTCCGTCAAAAATCCCCGCAATGTGAAAAATACATGCCGAGCAGTCACTGGTGTGCGGAGCTTTGCACACACAGAGCTTGCAGACGTCCGCTTTGAGTCCGCGCGGACCTCCGTGGAGTCCGTTCCGCGTACGTTCCGCCCGAGTATGTTCGGGCATTTAATGATGAATGGATCTCTGTGTGCGTGGCTCTGGGGGCGGGGGGCGATTATTCGAAAAATTGTCGAATAGTTGCCACGATTTTCAAATAGTGTTTTTGCTTGTGCTGCCCATCCCTAGTAGAAAGAGAAAGCAAGATGGCTGAGAAGCGGCCGAGACACGGTTCAGAAGTGGATCCTACCACAAATGCAAGTGTTACTCTGTGTACGGTGTGTGGCGACTGGCAAGTGTTAATCTGTGTACACGGTGTGTGGCAAGTGTTACTCTATGTACATGGAAGTACCCCCGGCTTATTAGGTGTAATAACGCATTATCCGCTGGGAGGCGACAGAAGTTACGCCCTACAGCTTTAAACTGATAATACTTCATAAGACAAAATTTAAAGCCCAAAAAGTTGGTAAGGTTATGTTCTAAGGGCAAAATATTTCATTCCTGCATTATAAACAAGTTAAAGACATATCGAAAACAGTTACATTATAGATTATGTCTATTTCTTTTTTATCTTTGAATGTTAGAGGGTTATAAACAGTATTAAGTGAAAAACAATCTTTTTATTTTGCAAGGAACAAAAATCAAAATGTGTTTTGTTACAAGAGACTCATTCTGTTATGACTGACGAAAAGTTTTGGAATGGTCAGTGGGGAGATTCTGCTTTTTTTGCACATGGAACTTCTCATACAGCTGGAGTAATGGTGTTATTTAACAGGTTTCCAGGCATGTTAATTGACAATAAAACACATACATAACGTCATCGGTTAATGGTAGTAGTAGAGATAAATGACAAACGTTACATTTTAGTGTGTATTTATGGTTAGAATAATAAAGCTGCGGACAGGGACATGTTTGCAGAACTAGGTAAACTTGTGAATGATTGGAAAATAACCTACACTTCAGATCAAGTGATAATGGGTGGAGACTTCAACATAGTTGAAATGTGATTTGGAGATTTCAAAACTGCCTATTAAGTTGTCAGATTTCCATAAACAGGTACTGCATTACTGGAAAATGATATAGACCCATAATTTCACACCACATGACTCCACCTTGTGGAATAATAGAACCATTACAATTAGTAAGAAAACCTTGAAAAAGAAAGGTATGAGAAAGAAGTGTTATATGTTGTTGACTTGATGGATGAACATGGCCATTTTATTCAATGTGATTCATTTGTAGAAAAGTTTCATTTAAAATGCTCCGTCAGAGAGTTCAGTCCAATTTGTAAAGCCATTCCGCTTCCTTTGAAACACATGACACAAAGCACTCTTACATATTCACATGTGGTTATTAAGTTGCCTGAAATAAAGATTGGTGAAGTGTATGTTGGTGAAAAGAAATGTAATAACAAAGTCATTGGTAATGTTTTGAAATGCAAATTGTTTTCTGATTTTCAAAAGTAAGAATAATCCATAACGGGAACATTTTAATTCATAAATGTTTCCATTATCTTAAATGGCCAATTTCACCAAAAGTAAAAGACGTTCAATTTAGAATTGTAAACAATGTTTATCCAGCTGCTGAAACTTTACCACAAAGATTTCATTTTCAAGTAAATCCTTATGTGTATTTTGTTCAAGAGAACCCGAAACTATTGAGCATTTATTTTTTTATCATGGGTAAATATCATTTACACCATTGCAAATGGAAAAACTGTAAACCCTCCATATTTTGCTTTAAAAATGAACTGAAGAATTATTTATCGTCCATTAAGATATTATCTAAATAATCAGTCCCTTAAAGACCTGTATGAAGTCATGTTTAAGTCTCTTACATTTTAATTTCATCCTTGCTGCTGTTCATTTTCTTTAAATCTCCAACGAGCCTATTGTTTGTTCTGCGAGCTCTCGCGAGAACACGCGACGCTCTGCGCGGGAAAATACCCTGCAACACAGACCGTCTCAAGTGTTTCTTTACTCTGAGTGAGTTAAAGATGAAAACAAGAAACACGGAGATATAAAAACCTTTTTGCTTTGTTACATTTCCTTTCTCCAGATGTGATGTGGAACCAGAGAATGAGCGGATGATCCACGGAGCCTCGAGACTCTTCCTCGTGTCTTTAGTGTGGCTGCTGTCAAGCCGTTTGTATGCATGACGTCATCAACACTCACCTCAACATCGCTGCTATCAGAGGACGAGCCTGCTGCTTGTCTTCTGGGGACCTTGTTGCTCCGGTGCTCCGGGTTCTGCTTGTCCTCCTCCATTCCGCTCCTCTACTGTTCCTCCTCCTCCTCCTTCTTCTCCTTATTCTCTTTATTCTTCTTCTTTTTGTTTAACGGCGGTTGGCATCCAGCTTATTGGTGCATTACCGCCACCTTCTGTTCCGGAGTGTGGACCAAACAGTAGACTAACATTCTTATTCTTTTACCTGACCAGATTAAAAAAACAGTATTATACACATGATATATATATATTAAAAAAAACACCCTTATCCTACTATAAACTCCCCACACCCATGTCAACAACAGCCACCCTATTCTTCTACCCCTGCTTATCCATCAGATTCTATAATAAACACCTGTATCCCTTAAGAAAGCTATCAGTACCCTAATCTGTGCTCTCTCACCCATACTCAGTAACCCTTTTAATGTAAATTCCTGCACCCCTAAGTCCTTCAGCCTATTCCTCATCACCTCTCTCTGCATCTCATACCTCAGAACTACTTGCTCCACTGACTCCTCCTCCTGACACCCCTCACACAGGCCTGCCTGGTGCTTCCCTATCAGTTTCAACGTTTTATTTAATGCACTATGCCCCAACCTTAACCTTGTCAACACAATCTCCTCTCTCCTGTGTCCACTGCTCATCCTTCCACCTCTAACACTCTTTTGGATCTGATAAAGATGCCTCCCTTTCTCCTCTCTATCCCACCTTTCTTGCCATATTAGATTGGTCTTTTCCCAGATCGCACATTTAACTTCTGCTTTGCTGATCCTGAGCTGCATGTCTACATTTCCTTTCTTTAAAGCCCTCTTAGCCAACTCATCCACCCTCTCATTCCCCCTCACCCCTACATGCGCTGGAACCCACAGAAACTTTACCTGACCTCCATGATTGACTATTCTTGTAATTGACTCAAGGATTGAATACAGTATGTCTTGACGGCTGTTTGAATGGAAAGACCTTAAGCTTGCTAGTACTGAAGATGAGTCTATCAACGCCTTATCCAGACCAGCTTTCTCCACCCACTGTAATGCAACCAGCACTGCCACCATTTCCACTGTGTACACTCCTAACTTATTAGATGTCCTTCTATTGATTCCAATTACTTTTGCTGGTACTGCCACCCCAAATCCTGTCACTTCTGTCTCAGGTTGTTTAGCACCATCTGTGTAAAATCATTATATTCTGTCGTTACATGAAATCTGAATGCACTCACCAAATCAATTATACCTTTTTTCTTCCTTTTAGCCTCTAACAAATACCAGTCAATCTCAGGCCACACAAGCATCCATGGAGCCACCTCTGGATAAACCACTGTCGGGCTTATATTCAAATTGAGTACTCCAATTTATTTTGCCACGTAATTTGCTACTTGAGCAAAGTTTTGCCTCTGGCTCCTCCCATTCTCCCAGCACTCCTTTCGTGGGATGAGATTCGTTGTGCCCCTGCAAATTAGCCCAGTAATTAGTCATCAGCATCCTTCTTACTTCTAGAGGCATTTCACCCAATTCTACCTGTAGGGCAGGTACTGGTGAAGTCTTAATAGCCCCACTGCACACTCTCAGAGCCTGTGCGTGAATCACATCCAACTTCCTCAAGAGAGACTTAGCTGCTGACCCATATGCTACACTGCCATAGTCAATCACAGACCTCATCAATGTTACATATAGCCTCTTCGGTGCTGAACAGCTTGCCCCCCACTCCCTTCCAGTCAAACATCTCATCATATTTATTACTTTTTTGCATTTTCCTTCTATTCTCCTGATATGATCTGCCCATGTTAGCCGTGAATCAAAAAGAACTCCCAGAAATTTAAATGTTCCAACCCTTTCTAAAGCTTTTCCATGCATCTCCAGCTTCATCCCTTCCTTAATTCTTTTCCTGGTGAAAAATACTGTTTGTGTTTTTTCCACTGAGAACCTGCACCCTAACTCAAACCCCCACTCCACCACCTCATCAATTGCACCTTGAACTTTCCTTATTGCATGCTCCATGTTCCTTCCTCTTTTCCACAAGGCACCATCATCCGCAAAAAGTGATCTGCCTATATCTGCCGGCACTTTTGAAAATACATCATTGACCTTGATGATAAAGAGTAGCGGGCTAATTGCACTCCCTTGAGGTGTACCATTTCCAACTGTGTACTGATTTGACAATTCTGACCCAGTGCGTACTTGGATTTTCCTTCCAAATAGAAAATCCTTTATCCAGTTGAAAACTCTCCCACCAACACCCATCTTGTGTATTTTGATTAACAACCCGTCCTTCCATATCATGTCATAGGCTTTTTCAATATCAAAAAATACTGCAATAACTGATTCTTTATTTGCCTGGGCCTTCCTTATTTCAGATTCTAACCTTATCACAGAGTCCATGGTATTCCTGCCTTTCCTGAAACCACTCTGATAACTTGCCAACACTCCCCTCTTCTCAAGTTCATACGACAACCTTTCCGTTATCATCCTTTCCATTATCTTGCATGTATTTGATGTCAGTGCTACTGGCCTGTAACTAGTGGGTTTGGATGGATCCTTGCCAGGTTTTCTTATCGGAATCACTACTGCTTCTTTCCAGGCTCCTGGTAACCTTCCCTCCTCCCACATTCTGTTATAAAGATGCAGCAACTTCACTAATGCTCCTTTCCCCAAATGCTTTAACATTGTGTCGCACACCTGATCTTTCCCTGGAGAGGTTGGTCATGACCTCTTTATTGCTCTCATCATCTCTGCCAAAGTAAATGGCTCATCAATTACGCCATCTGTATTTTACTTCCTGTTTAACACACCTGGATGATGACTCGTAGTTCTTTCTCTTCTCTGTCTCCCTTCTTCTGACAAATTTTCTGAGCTGTGCACCTTTACAAAAGCCTTAACCATGATCTCTGCCTTTTCCCTGTTGGAAACTGCTGTCTCCTCCTCAGATGTTATGACCGGATAATCCCATTCCCTTCTGTCTCCTCCCATCTTCTTCATCATTCCCCATACCTCTCCCACTGGTGTTGTTCTCCTAATTCATCGCAGAAATTCCTCCAGCTTGCCCCCTTAGCTTGACGTACTGTTCTTCTCACCACTGCCTGCGCCTTTTTGTACTGAATCAAATTCTGCATGTTATGGGTTCTTTTAACTTGTCTGAATGCTCTATTCCTATTTCTTACAGCCTGATGACATTCTTCTGTCCACCATGGTACCAGCTTCCTGTTCTTCCTGCCTTTACTCTTGGGTATAGCTCCATCTGCTGCCCTTACAATCGCTGATGTTACCTGTTTATTTATTTCAACAATGTCTCCAAGCATATCTATTCTGTTCATTGATTCCTCACTCAGCCTCTGGAACTCATCCCACTCTGCTTTTCCAAATACCCACTTTGTGATTCCCCCACTTGCTCTCACTTCCACTCTCTCCCCCACCATGCATAAGACTGGGTAATGATTGCTGCCTATTGTTGATGCTGTCCAAACTTCCCAGTTACTAATTCCAGCCAAGGTGTTAGATACTAGAGTAATACCTAGTGCTGATTCAGTACCTGCTGTTATGTTTACCCTTGTTCCTCTGCCATCATTCACACACACCAAATCCCTTTCATCCATCAAATCTTCAATGACCTGTCCATTCGTGTCTGTCTGTGGCCCTCCCCACACCGTACTGTGAGCACTGAAATCTGCACACCAAATTACCTTATTTCTCTCTTGTCCTTTTATCCTTAATAGGCTATCCAAATCCAACCTCTTGCATGGGTTATAGTAGTTGATTATAACCACCTTCTCCCCTCTTTACCATACTTCCACCACTACATATTCCTGGTCCACTCCCCTTTCCAGTAGCCTATATGGAATGTCTTGTTTGATAAACGTAGCACAACCTCCTCCTCCTCCTCCCCCTTGACTTCTGTCTTTCCTTATCACTGTATATCCATGTAACACAAAATCTAGATTTGGTTTTAACCATGTTTCCTGCACGCAAATTACATCTGGTTTTTCAGCCATCTCTTTAATGAAATGCTTGAATTCCTGGCCATTAGCCAGTAGGCTCCTGGCATTCCATTGTAGGATGATTACCATAATTAGTATTAACCAACCCATGGTGTTTCCTGACTTGACTGATTAGTGAGGTTATCCCTCACTTCTTCCCATGTCAGTCCCACTAATCCCAAATGATGCACTGCTGCTTTAACAATCAACTGGATTTTTTCACTTTTTGACTTCACTTCAGCTGTACTGTTAACCACTCCTGCAATGAATGTTACCAAATCCCTTTTGTCCACATACATCCTGTCATTTGCTCTTTGTTGCAGCTCTCGACCTCCCACTGCTCCTTGATCATTAGCTTCATTGTTCTGTCCCCTTGACACTCTTACAGCTTCTGCATATGATATCCTTCTTTCCACTCTTACTTTTGGATATTATTCTCCCTTTTCATAACCTAACATCCCCCATATGCCACATTATGGTCTCCTCCACAGTTACAACATTTTGGTTGCACCCCTGTTCCACACTTTCCATACTCATGGTCTCCCCCACATCTAGCACACCTCCTCTTCTCCTTACAGTTTTTGGCTAACTCTCATAAGAACCTCACATAAACTCTCACCGGGTAACTCNCGCCTTTTTGTACTGAATCAAATTCTGCATGTTATGGGTTCTTTTAACTTGTCTGAATGCTCTATTCCTATTTCTTACAGCCTGATGACATTCTTCTGTCCACCATGGTACCAGCTTCCTGTTCTTCCTGCCTTTACTCTTGGGTATAGCTCCATCTGCTGCCCTTACAATCGCTGATGTTACCTGTTTATTTATTTCAACAATGTCTCCAAGCATATCTATTCTGTTCATTGATTCCTCACTCAGCCTCTGGAACTCATCCCACTCTGCTTTTCCAAATACCCACTTTGTGATTCCCCCACTTGCTCTCACTTCCACTCTCTCCCCCACCATGCATAAGACTGGGTAATGATTGCTGCCTATTGTTGATGCTGTCCAAACTTCCCAGTTACTAATTCCAGCCAAGATGTTAGATACTAAAGTAAAAACAAGTGCTGATTCAGTACCTGCTGTTATGTTTACCCTTGTTCCTCTGCCAACATTCACACACACCAAATCCCTTTCATCCATCAAATCATCAATGACCTGTCCATTAGTGTCTGTATGTGGCCCTCCCCACACCGTACTGTGAGCACTGAAATCTGCACACCAAATTACCTTATTTCTCTCTTGTCCTTTTATCCTTAATAGGCTATCCAAATCCAACCTCTTGCATGGGTTATAGTAGTTGATTATAACCACCTTCTCCCCTCTTTACCATACTTCCACCACTACATATTCCTGGTCCACTCCCCTTTCCAGTAGCCTATATGGAATGTCTTGTTTGATAAACGTAGCACAACCTCCTCCTCCTCCTCCCCCTTGACTTCTGTCTTTCCTTATCACTGTATATCCATGTAACACAAAATCTAGATTTGGTTTTAACCATGTTTCCTGCACGCAAATTACATCTGGTTTTTCAGCCATCTCTTTAATGAAATGCTTGAATTCTTGGCCATTAGTCAGTAGGCTCCTGGCATTCCATTGTAGTATGATTACCATAATTAGTATTAACCAACCCATGGTGTTTCCTGACTTGACTGATTAGTGAGGTTATCCCTCACTTCTTCACATGTCAGTCCCACTAATCCCAAATGATGCACTGCTGCTTTAACAATCAACTGGATTTTTTCACTTTTTGACTTCACTTCAGCCGTACTGTTAACCACTCCTGCAATGAATGTTACCAAATCCCTTTTGTCCACATACATCCTGTCATTTGCTCTTTGTTGCAGCTCTCGACCTCCCACTGCTCCTTGATCATCAGTTTCATTGTTCTGTCCCCTTGACACTCTTACAGCTTCTGCATAAGATATACTTCTTTCCACTCTTACTTTTAGAAAATAATAAACCATTTAAAAAACAAAAAAACCCCATATGCCACATTATGGTCTCCTCCACAGTTACAACATTTTGGTTGCACCCCTGTTCCACACTTTCCATACTCATGGTCTCCCCCACATCTAGCACACCTCCTCTTCTCCTTACAGTTTTTGGCTAACTCTCATAAGAACCTCACATAAACTCTCACCGGGTAACTCATAAAACCCAGGAATACTTTCTTGGGTACACTCTCTCCTTCAAACTCAATCAGTACAGTTTCGCTATCCTTTTTCATTCCTTCTTTTGTTGTCTTCATTCTTTGCACATTCATTATTTTCCCTCCTTTGAAATTCCTCTTAAGTTTCTCCATACTCACACTCAGTGACACCCCTGTAATCACTCCTTTGCATCCACCACCATTTCGTGCCCCCACCCTCCCTGTGCTTGCCACCTTGATTTTTCCTATCTCTTTCAGTTTGAGTGCCTTCTCAACTTGCTCTCTATTAGCACATCTCACCAATAGATTGCCATCATTCAGGACCTTTGCATATTGTATCTCCCCTATTTCACTTGCCAGAATTGTTGTTAGCACAAAGGGACTGAGCTTCTTCATGCTTTCTTGTGCCTTTTCATTAAACCTTATAATGACAACACAATTCTCAGGTGTCTCCCTCTCAACACGCTCAGCCCCTTCCTCCTCACTGCTATTATCGATTTCCGGCAGTTTTGACGCTACTTGGCGTATCACTGCCCTCCACTAGACAGAGTCTATTTAAATCTTCATATACAGCCCTGCTTCACACAGGAACTGTCAGGCTGCTTTTGTTATCATCTGATGGTTCTCACCCTGGCCAAAAACAGCTTTAATAGAAAATGTGTCCACACCCAGATCTGCCAGCTTCTTATAGAAAGACCTCCTCTCTATCTATACATCTGACATTCCATAAAAAACATGTTTAATTGTTTCTGATCACCCATATTCACATAATCCATCAGGATGCTTCCCCATAATATGCAGATAATGATTTAATCCACAATGCCCAAGCCTCAGTGTGCAGATTTTAACAGATTCACTTCGAGTTCCAGAAATATAACTAATTTTTCTAACCAAAGACTGTAAAGAAAAATAATACCTTCCTTTAGTCTCTTTTTCCCACAGTTCCTGCCTTTCTTTTTCCACACCCTCTTTGATTTTCCCTCTCAGTTCCAATCTTCCTGGAGATATATTGAAGTCTACTACTTTTTTCTGCAGGGTTGCCTTTGCTATAGAATCGGCTATTTCATTTCCCTTAACTCCAGCATGTCCAGGAACCCAACAAAACATGACTTCACAACCATTCTTTTCTACTTGAAACAATACAGACAATATTTTTTTAACAAGATCCGGCCGAGCTTTTGATTTAACTCCTCTTATAACCATTAGAGCTGCTGCTGAGTCTGAGCAAATCAGAACTGATTTTAGTCTTTCTTCCTCAGTCCACCTCAGAGCCCAGAGAATTGCCAGTAATTCTGTCATAAAAATAGAACTTCCATCTGAGATACGTGGATCAAACTTGAGTCTTAACTGATCTACGTACACCCCAAATCCTGCTTTCCCACTCTCTGGATCCTTAGAACCATCTGTGTATATTATCAGCTTCTCCTCCCTGACTGACTTGAGATATTCTTGTATTTTGTTCACCTCTTTCTTGTCTTGAAGAAAGCACAGCTTGATGTTTAATTCCTGCATTACACACGGTGGTATTGATAACCAGCTTGTTTGTTCCATGCCACCCTGTTCCATGCACAGTTTCCTTGCCCATTGATTTATTCTGGCAATATATGGCTCATGCCTGTTGCCTCCTTCCACCTCTTGTAACTGACACCTAGCTGGGAAGGTTTGAGTACTCCTACTAATTTTTATCCAGTACTGTCGTCCTAACTTAATGTGCCTTAACCATAGGGGCATTTCTCCCATTTCAATAACTAGTGCATGGATTGGGGAGGTTCTAAAGGCTCCACAGCAGAGTCTCAGGGCTTTATAAATAAAATTTAAATTGAATTGACACTAATACTCACTGTATGACATTAACATAAAACAATGAATGCACGTTACTTATTGCTGATTATTTAAAAAAAAGAAAAGAAATACAGCTCATAGAAAGACTGCATGCTCTTACTTTGACATGCAGAGATTACTTCATCAGCTGGGTGATCACGTGCTATCCGAAAATGGCCGAGTGATACGAGTGCGTTTTCGTTCAGACCGGTGGAAAGTTTGTTTCAAAACTCTGTGTGTGTAAAAACCAAATCCACACGCGTAGAACTGAGATTCACAATTGTTCACACACTCCACATTTAATAATGACCTCATGTACTCAGTCACTCACCTATAATCCTTTCTACGTATTAGGGATATACCATAATATTGGCACATCATCAGTATTGACCGATATCTTTAAAATGAACTATCAGAATAAGCCAACATGCTTTTTCTTATTCTGCACAATGAATGAATATTACATTAAAGTATTGTATTTTGTGTCTCCATCTGCTGCTAGGCCAGTGGAGCTGATCCTGAGGAGCGTCTGAGCTTTAGTAGTGAGACTGTGACAGGAGCAAAGACCAACACCAGGAACTTTAATCCCACTGCAGAGTCTACAAACTATTTTTATTAAAGGCTGAACTCATCTGATGATATGAACATTACAATCCTCCACACAGAAACAAACAGGCTTCAACTCATCTTCTGTCTCTGTACCTCCAACAAGAGTCAAAAAGAAGAAGAGCTCCGCCCTGCTCAGGAAGAAAAACTCAGCTGTCTTCTACATGTGGACAAACACAGGACACATGCAACTCACTGGATAAGACATTAAATATGTTACACATGATAACATACATCATATTAATCTGATATTTAAGTTGTTGATGATGCTCAGAGCTCAGAAGACTTTGGTGTCCTGATGTCATCAACAGGACCAAACAGTCTGAGCTGGAAACCTGAACACTGTGGAGGAGTTTTCATGTCCCTGTGATACTGGGAGCTGTGGTGTCCCAGCCGTTGCTCCTGGTCGGGTCTTGAGAGGCAAAGTGGTCCAAGGGGAGGGGCCAGACTAACAGTGAGTCAACAGACCCTGATGGATCAGACCTGCAGCACCTCGCCATGACAACAGAAACAGCCCCCTTCTGGAGGCAGGCTAGACAGGGAAGCTGCACATGGGACCAAAACTCAGTCAAGTCACTAAACATTTCATTCAGCATGTTGAGTCAGCGTCTGAGATTGCAGAGCCTGTCTGTGATAGAGGTCTCAGGCTGATGCAAATACTTTGATCACAGCCATGGTAAGAGGCAACAATATCAGTTTTCACATACTTATTCAGTCAATCAGCCTATATATATATATACATGGACTTGACTCATGGGGCTCGGTGGGGCACAGTCCCAAAGATCAACATGGAGTCACCATCCTGTGGGCTCACCAGTCGCAGAGATACGCTTCAGGGTCGGGTGCACTGTGAGCCGCAACATTGCCCCGGACAGTTGCATGATTGATTTTGAAAAGTTTGTGTTCAGCTCTCACACATGGGAGTCCTACAGGGAGGAATCTGGTGGCCCAACATAGGGTTACAGTTGAAATAAAAAAAACAGATAAAATAATCAATGACAAAAGTAAGATATCAACACAGCTATCAGGGCATGGGGAGGAAGCAGTAGGAAGATGTTTGCCTGGCCCTGAAAATGTCCAAAACAATGCAGGGTAAACACATTTGTGGGCTTTAATGTCACTACCAACATCGGTCACATCAGGACAGGTTCTCTCTGGTGTGAACATGTTGGTGGATTTTTAGGTCATACCATTCAATAAAAGCTTTCTCACACTAGTCACAGCTGTATGGGTTCTCTCCTGCATGCCGGCATTGGTGGGTTCTCAATTGAGTGCACCAGGCAAATAATCTTCCACATTGATCACACCAGTACGGTTTCTCTCCTGTGTGAATACGTTGGTGGCTTTTTAAGGCCCATGACAGTGCAAAGGCTTTGCCACATTGATCACAGCTGTACGGTTTCTCTCCTGTGTGACTACGTTGGTGGCTTTTTAAGGTCGCTGACTGTACAAAGGCTTTGCCACATTGATCACAGCTGTACAATTTTTCTCCTGTGTGAATACGTTTGTGGCTTTTTAAGGCCCCTAACTGTGCAAAGGCTTTGCCACATTGATCACAGCTGTACGGTTTCTCTCCTGTGTGAATACGTTGGTGGCATTTTAAGGTCGCTGACAGTGCAAAGGCTTTGCCACATTGATCACACCTGTATCGTTTCGCACCAGTGTGAATACTTTTGTGAGATATTAAGGTTCTGATTTGGGAAAACTTTTTCCCACATTGGTCGCACCCATATGGCTTCTCTCCAGTGTGACTGCGTTGATGAGATTTCAAGTTACTTAAATGTGTGAAAGTTTTGCCACATTGATCACAGCTGTATGGTTTCTCTCCTGTGTGACTGCGTTGATGGGCTTTCAAGTTACCTAACTGTGTGAATGCTTTATTGCACTGATCACAGCTGTATGGCTTCTCTCCTGTGTGTCTGCGTTGATGGGTTTTCAAGTTACTTAACTGTGTGAAAGTTTTGCCACATTGATCACAGCTGTATGGTTTCTCTCCTCTGTGACTGCGTTGATGGTCTTTCAAGTTACTTGACCATTTGAAAGCTTTGCCACATTGATCACAGCTGTACGGTTTCTCTCCAGTGTGAATTCTTTGGTGAATTTCAAGGGACATGCGTTGCGAAAAAGTTTTCCCACATTGGTAACAGCAGTGCAACTTCTCTGCAGTGTGAACACAATGGTGACATTTTAAGATACGTAGAGTGGTGAAAGCTTTAACACATTGATCACAGCTAAACAGTTTCTCTGCTGTGTCAATGTCTTGTTTTTTTGAGGTCCCTGACTCTGTGAAATCCTTCCCACTTTGGAAAAAACTGGACAGTTCCCCTTCAGTGTGAATGCGTTGATGGGCTTTGAGGGCACTGCAGCGCAAAAATGTTTTCTCACATTGGTCACAGCTGTATGGTTTCTCTCCAGTTTGAACTCTTTGATNTTTTAAAGATCCAGATGTTCTGAAGGATTTGTCACGGTGGTGACGTATAAATTCCTCTCTTCCTCTCTGTTCCTATAGCAACAAACAGACACAGAAAAAAAGAGTTAATGAGTTGTCACGGTGCAGTGAGCCAACTAAAACCATAAATAACATTTAAAGCATGTCTGCGAAACATAACCCACAATGTCTGACTAATGCATTACCACCAACAAATGTTATGATAAATAACTTACAGAATAGTTTTTATTTAGGTTTTGACTTTTTGATAGGAATTGATACCAATACTACTTATCAATGCGACTCTCATTGATACTTCTCTCCATAATTTAGTGGTTTAGTGGTTTTGGGTTGGACCTGAGATTCTTGACTTGCGCTCATCTCTCCCCCATAACTGTACAGGCTAACCGCCACACTAAAGTCTTTTCTCATTTTCTTTATATATTTATCAGCTACTTTTCATAACCCACATAAACCATTTGTCATAAATGAGATCCACTGTACAGCACTTATTCAGAAAGACAATGTTACTCTTAATGGACCAATAAGCGGAAATTCATCATTTCTCGATTGAAGGAATTAAAAAATCGCTATGTGAAGAACTAGAAGTGTAATTTCGTATAGCATGACGTCACACACCTTCTCTCTGTGTTGATCTCCAGCCCCTTGTTTACAAGCCAGTCCGGCTGTGCGTTCATGTACGTTCATGTGAATCGCCTCCTTCCTCCTCTCAGAGCCCTTGGCCCTCCCTCCCTATAAAAGGCTACGGCCAGTGAGCAATGGCAGCGTGTATTTTCGAAGCGAAATGGCAGAGAGCGGAACGAAATGTTCACCTGAAGATGGCCAGGATCTGACATTACCTCTAAAGAAACAATGGTTGTTGGCGAAGAAGTTGTCGGATAAAGAAAGGGACAGAACCTGGATTAACACTGGCCTTGCATTTCCAAGGTGGAGAGCACTGCGAGAGCTAAAGGGGCTACAATTTGACTCGGAGCTAGCTCTTCTTCTCCTGGACAGGTAACGTTAAGTAACAACATACAGTCAAATGTCGATTTTAGTGTTACAGTAACGTTAGGCACATGTCGCTACATCGATACAATTAAATTTAATGTTACAATCGTAGCATGGGTTAATGTCCGGAGTTTGAGTTATTAGCGGCTCAGTCCCAGCAATGGGTCAGGCGTTACATTTGTGTTAGGTGAGTATTCCGGCAGCCCAGCTAACATTTGCAATTAGCATTATAAAATGTAGCCAGACTAAACATCGCTCTCACTCACGGAGAAGAGTAGGAACGTTAGCGGAGAGCAGAGGTAGAGGGAAGGGTGGCTCATGACACACTTTGTTTTGGTCTACAGGCAGTGCACAAGAGCAAACCTAGCAGTGAAACAGCTCACTTTTTGCCCCTTTAAAGCTGGTCGCCCTGTTGCTCCCATTATTTCCTTCTTCCAAAACAATGTTGAAGAACACCAGCAGTTAATGTTATGAGTTGAGTTTCCATTAAAACAAAATTATTATGACTGCTGTGCCAAATTAATCCGAGCACACTAGGGCTGTCACGGTATGAGATTTTCATGGTACGATAACTATCTAAGAATATAATGCGTTTCAGGGTATTACAGAATTTATATTATGATTAGTGTGAATGATCCTGTTTTGATCTATTTTATACTTCAGATTTATATTGTTTAGCATTAATTGGTGACAGAAAAGAATGAATTTCATTCTGCAAGGAAACGCTTGTCCTTACTGTGCATATGACAATAAACACTTTGAATCTTGGATCTATGTTTTATGAAGACCCTATGTGCGCTCAAAGCTGTGGCACAAGTTATGCACCGAAATCTGGCATTAGAAAAAATAATAATAAGAAGGAAAAATAACACTCCGAGTTCCCCCAGGAGCAAGACAGCTGATCTTGCTATAAATCCCCTACACCCCACTTCCCAGCCAACATTTGTATGTGGGGCCCAAATGGGTTAAAACATGGGCCCTATATGGGATTCTCCATGGGTTCCATAATGGCCCCATTCCATTTGCCCACATGGTTGGGTTTAATCAAGTGGGCCCCACATAGGTTATGCTAGGGCTACCTGGGTACCAAGTGGGTATGGGCCCAAAATCGGCATCTTATCTGGGCCCTTATTGGGTAAACCCACCCATGTGTGCAACTGGCACGGGGCCAATGTGGAACCTGTGGACAATCCGACATAGGACCCCTTTTCACGGCCATTTATGACCCACATGGGCCCCACATACAAATGTTGGCTGGGTTCCAATGGACAAATCCTAGTTTTCCATCCCCGCTGCTCAGCGGGGATGGAAAACTAGGATATCTATCTAGGATATCTAAGCTATCTAGGATATCTAAGCTTTTTTCTTTCATAGGCTTCTTCCACTGAGTCTTCCCAAGGAACTATCAGCCCAATGAAATAAACTATCCGTTGACTCACTGACCACAACACTATGTCAGGCCTCTGCTTGGTACAAACTATTTCCTGGGGAACAACAAGCTTTCCCCCTAAATCTACTTGCATTTCCCAATCACAAGCACCTTCTAGGCGGCCACACCCTTGCCTCCTCACTACCTTAACCCTTCTGTATTTCTCTCCCTCACGGACAAACTGAATTGCTAAACTCCTATCCTTAACACCTTCTGAATTCACCTGTCTTCGTTACCCTTCGATGCCTGCAGCTAAACATTTCAACACCTGGTTATGTTGCCATGTATATCGGCCTTGTGACAAGCTAACTTTACAGCCTGACAAAATATGCTTTAAGGTTGCAGTACCTGAACACAATGGGCATGATGGGTCCTCATTTTCCCACAGTTTTAGGTTCTGGGGGGTTGGTAACACATCGTACGTAGCCCCTACCAGGAATCTAATACAATTCTCCTCCATGCTCCACAGGTCCCTCCAACTAAGCTTCCTCTTCTCTCCACTTTCCCAATTCAACCACTGTCCCTGTTTAGCCTGGGCCACTACCTTTGCACCCCTTAATATCTCCTTCTGTCTACGTATCTGTTCCATGACCAGCTTTCTTTTATCTTTGAGACCTGCTTTATTCCATACCGGTTTGCCTGAGCCAAGCCCCAGGCCTCCCCGGCCAAACTGAACATTACCTACAATCTCTGCATGCCTAAGAGATGCCTCTGCCTCCTGAACTGCTGATCTTGGGTTCCACTTCCTCCCCTTGGTTGGATTTGGAACCACACTTCTAACTACCACGTCCTTACTCCCAGATAACAAGAGCTCTGTCCTGTCCTGATCTGCATAGGCTACTAGTCAAAATCTCATGCTACTTAGGACAAATGTAATGTACAGAAGTAGCTGCACTGCTTTAATACAAAATTAAAGTTTTTGAAGGAAAAGATAAGTAAAGTCACTCTGAAGATACATTTTTTTATGTGAAATGTGCATATTTACCCCCAATTGTCATAGTAAGGGCAAAACTGTTGTTTTTTAAACTTGAAACATATTTTATTGGATTCCTTGACCCCAAAAATGTACACTTTGACACCAAATTTGTCATTAGAGCTATAACAGAAGCAGAGATATGGGCTCTAGAGTATTTTCGGCGCATTGGCGGCCATTTTTGAAAAAAAAAAACGTGTTTATTTCCGATACAAAGTGTGATCTCACTTGTGTCTTAGGATAAATTTATTTGTATGACCCTAAGGTACTTCCATACCAAAGGGGACCTTTGCATCATGACTTGAAGTCAAAGGCCTATTTTTTGGGCTTAACCTCCCTACTAGTGGGGCGATTCTGCTTTTTTTGCACATGGAACTTCTCATACAGCTGGAGTAATAGTATTATTTAACAGGTTTCCAGGCATGATAATTGACAATAAAACAAGATACATAACGTCATTGGTTAATGGTAGTAGTAGAGATAAATGACAAATGTTACATTTTAGTGTGTATTTATGGTTAGAATAATAAAGCTGCGGACAGGGACATGTTTGCAGAACTAGGTAAACTTGTGAATGATTGGAAAATGACCTACACTTCAGATCAAGTGATAATGGGTGGAGACTTCAGCATAGTTGAAATATGATTTTGAGATTTCAAAACTGCCTATTAAGTTGTCAGATTTCCATAAACAGGTACTGCATTACTGGTAGGGATGCACCAAAATGAAAATTTGTGGCTGAAGCCGAAGCCGAATAATATTAAACGCTTGGCCAAATACAGAGTACCGAATACCAAATATTGTTGTTTAGTTTTTCATTAGTTTTTGCAGATGAACCACCTCCAGATTAGTGTTGTCAGTGTACCAATATTGGGACCCACTGTATGATACCAGTGAAAATATCATGGTTCTGAGTAGTATCACGATACCACAGCGAAAATGAGGCAGATGTGCCTTTTGTCATTTATAAAAAGATAAATCACTTTTCTATAATACATCAATGATATTTCAATGGAATAAATTACTTACTGACTTAGTCATACTTCAAAAACAGCAACAATAAGTGATTAACATAGGGGGGATCAAAATTTAAAAAAAAAAAAGAAGAAGAATCAACCAGCCACCCTCCTCCCCTGACAAGTCCCTTCATAAGTAAAGAACAGTCCCTAAAGTGCAGTGAGGTTTGTGGGCCGTGAACAGCTCGTTTCTCCTCAGACACATCACATACCTGTGTTCGGCTGGCTCGGCTGTTCCGGTACTTTTGGGCAGTCATGACGCCAAGAAAAGGATATTATTGGAGCCGACTTCTCCGTCGCAGTAAGCCTATGGCCGCCGTATTTGACAGGAATACATTACTGTCTGTGTCTGTGACCCCCGTTCAACCCACAACCGATGGGATTAGCCTTTCGTTTCTGCTGCTGGTTGAAATCCGTAGGCTGCTCGCACACTGTGCTGAATGATTTAAGCCTATTTTGCACGGCGAGTGCCATGACGTGGGATCGCCACACTGCCGACATTTTACTCCGCCCGTCACGGCACGCTGTTTGATTGAGTTATCAAAACATGCCGCTATTATTCGGCCTTGCTTTTAACTTATTCCACCGAATACCGAATGTGTGTTTTTTTTTGCAATATTCGGCCGAATACATTCGGTTACCGAATATTCGGTGCATCCCTAATTACTGGAAAATGATATAGACCCATAATTTCACACCACATGGCTCCTTGTTTAAAAAAGAATGGTATGAGAAAAAAGTGTTATATGTTGTTGACTTGATGGATGAACATGGCCATTTTATTCAATGTGATTCATCTGTAGAAAAGTTTCATTTAAAATGCTCCGTCAGAGAGTTCAGTCCAATTTGTAAAGCTATTCTGCTTCCTTTGAAACACATGACACAAAGCACTCTTACATATTCACATGTGATTATTAAGTTGCCTGAAATAAAGATTGGTGAAGTGTATGTTGGTGAAAAGAAATGTAATAACAAAGTAATTGATAATGTTTTGAAATGCAAATTGTTTTCTGATTTTCAAAAGTAAAAATAATCCATAATGGGAGCATTTTAATTAATAATAAATGTTTCCATTATCTTAAATGGCCAATTTCATCAAAAGTAAAAGACGTTCAGTTTAGAATTGTAAACAATGTTTATCCAGCTGCTGAAACTTTACGACAAAGATTTCATTTTGAAGTAAATCCTTATGTTGTTCAAGAGAACCCGAAACTATTGAGCATTTATTTTTATCATGGGTAAATATCATATACACCATTGAAAATGGAAAAACTGTAAACCCTCCATATTTTGCTTTAAAAATGAACTGAAGAATTATTTATCGTCCATTAAGATATGATCTAAAAATAATCAGTCCCTTAAAGACCTGTATGAAGTCATGTTTAAGTCTTTTACATTTTAATTTCATCCGTGCTTTAAATCCCCAACGAGCCTATTGTTTGTTCTGTGAGCTCTCGCGAGAACACGCGACGCACTGCGCGGGAAAATACACTGCAACACAGACCGTCTCAAGTGTTTCTTTACTCTGAGTGAGTTAAAGATGAAAACAAGAAACACGGAGACATAAAAACCTTTTTGCTTTGTTACATTTCCTTTCTCCAGATGTGATGTGTAACCAGAGAATGAGCGGATGATCCACGGAGCCTCGAGACTCTTCCACGTGTCTTTAGTGTGGCTGCTGTCAAGCCGTTTTTATCCATGACGTCATCAACACTCACCTCAACATCGCTGCTATCAGAGGACGAGCCTGCTGCTTGTCTTCTCCGGACCTTGTTGCTCCGGTGCTCCGGGTTCTGCTTGTCCTCCTCCATTCCGCTCCTCTACTGCTCCTCCTGCTCCTCCTCTCTCATGGACTCTGATGTCCTGGGCTGAGTC